TCCTCCCTGCTCAGTTCCACTGTCCTTTGGGTGAAAGGGGGCAGGAAACTTGGAACTTCCCCCTTTCCTGTGGACAAACCTGTTACACTTCCAGTGATGTGTTGTATAGAACAATCTATTTAAGCAAAGAAATCCTCACTGGTAATGTTGCCAACAGGAAGAACTTAGTACTGGCGCAGTATTCCCAAAGAACACATATACAGCCTTACCAAGTACTATAATTTGCCTTTTTTGCCTTTTATCCAAAAAAGCTCTAATGTCACTATTTTCATTAAGACTTCCACCTTTCTTCACCAACATACAGGAAGTTCACACATTTCGATGAAGCTTTGTGTCTTTTAGTGATTTACCAAGTATTTTTTCAAATGTATTTCTTTTATTACAGTGTAAGCTTCAAGTGGACAGTATACAAGTGCTCTTAAACATGACTGTCTTTCAATAAATACTTGTTAATTTTATTGAATAACTGAAAAGTTTAGTCTTTGTCTCAAAACTGTTATCTTTATGGTAAAGTATTTGTGGTGCTTCCATAGATGTGGAACAATGATTTCTAACTGAATACACACTTTAGCTTGACTTACCTAATTAGTGACTCATACCTTTTGGAAAATAATCAATATAATGATGTAATTCTTACTGCCATAAGTGATATCTAGAAACTCACCCTAAATTATGATTTTTATGAGAAAAGTCATTTATAAAGTCTTTAAACATTTTGTTTACTTAAGAGGAAATAGAGGGTGAAGAATAACTAAGCATGTGGTCTCTGGAGCTAGATGGTCCACATTTGAGATCTACTTATTCCATTGGCCTATGCAACCTTGGGTAAGTTACTTAAGCTCCATGTTTCCTTGTTTGTAAAATGGAGAAAGTAGTATTATTGTCCTTATGAATGTTGCAAGGATTGAATTATTTAATTCATGTAAGGGTCAGTAGGCTTTCAGTAGGCATTAACTACTCTAAGACCACATATTAAAAATACTAACCAGTTAGTTTAACAGGCTAGAACACAGCACAGAAGGAGACACTGCAAAGATGTGGAAAGGGCCCTGGAGTGAAAGTAAGAAGAAATGGGTGTAAGACCTGGCTCTGACACTTTGTGTCATCAGTCAAATCATCACTTCCTTGAGCATCAATTTCCTCATATTTAAATGTGGGAAATAATGTTTAGCTCACCGCATAGTTTGTCAAGATTAAATGAGGTAATTAATGTGAAAGACTTTTGTGAAATATGTGTCACAAAATGTGAAGTGTTATATCTACTTCATTATCAAAGCACAGTGAGAGATATGTACAATCAATTGTTTACCTAGAAGGACAGTAAAAGTGTGTGTCAGGCCATTCTGCAATTAGTTCTACTATTAATTTCTAATGATAGCAAGGCATTTTTAAATCAAAAGGAAATATATTCTTTTCTTTTGAACCTAATGAGCCTAAAGGACGCTTGAGAGTGACCTGTGAGGGAACAATAAAAAATAAAATGAATTTAACATATTCATAGTTAAATAATGGTTACCATAAAAAGTGTAGTATTTTCTCAAAATATTTTTGGCAAGAGATTTAAAAAGATATCCTGTTATTTATTCCCTTTCAAATTATTTTAAAAATTAGAGAAACTGATTTTTACCAACCTGGAAAAAACTCTATGACAACTTTATTTAATGTAAACTAGTCCAGAAATAAAAGATTATATTAACAAATGTGGCATATCAAATTGAATTTGAGGTCAGTAGTACACCTATTATATATAACCTGAAAGAGAAGGACTGTTCTGGCATTTATGCATCCTTCATAGAAAGGGCACTTGCATATAGAGTTTGTATTAACCAAATATGGCTGTCACAGGCCTTTTATACAATTGCCCAAATAGTAAAATGTGGGTAAGTGATAACTTAATAAATTAATCCAACACCCTAAGCTGAAAGATTTATATTCCCATTCTGACTTTTAGTCAATTGAGCTAAGTATATGGATTTTCAAGTAGGTCAGAAATCACTCCTTTCCTCTTTAGGTGTTGTTTTGTGCTCCTAAATGCCTCTTCCACAGATAACAAAATCGACTCTCAGTCATTCATGTTTATTGTGATCTCTACATCAGCTATTACCTACAGAGTTTTTGTGTTTTCAGTCTGCTTCCTAACATTGGAATGAAAGAATCTTTCAAAAGAGAAAAATGTAATGTTGGGCAAGAGGATTTTCCCAACTGGAATGGAATTCTCCAAAATCGCAATAAGGGTCATTTTTTTAATTCTAAAACTACTTTTTAGCCTTCCTAACTTATTTTGAACACACTCTATTGTTTAACTGGGATGAAAATATGAAGAACACAAAAAGATATCATCTCAGTTCTTGAGGTGCCTGTGCCTTAGCGTATATAGACATTCTGAAAAAAAATGAATTTTATTGATGGATTCTTAAGAGAAAAGAAATGTGTACTGTTAAATGGGGAGAAGAGTAAAAGAAAAATGTAGGTGTAGTAACAAAGTTATAAGTAGGTATAATAGCTGAGAAAATGAAGAAAGGATCCACATATGAAAGATGAAGTAGGAGAAAAGGGCACAATTAAAGAATAGAATATAGAAATCTGAGCACTGACACAAGAAAACCATTTTTCATTGTAGCATATCAAAGGGTTTTAAGTAGAATGTATGAGAATAGGGAGACTGTTAATATAAAAATGATAATTTTGAAGGTAAGAAAAAAAATATGTGAACCAAAAAAAGGTAAATAAAATGGAAAGGCATGTATGTCACTATGTTACTAGGTAATCTTGCAATAATTTTAATTTGGTATTCTTACTATATCTGCTCCTCTCTAATTTCACTGCTATGAATGGATACTTCTAGATTCAGAAAAGTTAGAGTCAGAAGAGGTACATTTTCTGAGAATGTAGAAATAAAGTGAGCATAGATTCTAAACTTTGGATTTAAAATCCTCCACATTCTCACATAAATCAGATAACCCCCCCAAGTCAGCTTCTAAAAGGAGATTATCTAGCTATTAAATAAATATAAACAAAGTACAGTCCAGAGAACTCTCAGTGCCATAGCCAGCTATAAGGATATTCCAAGTAGACAGCTGATATGATTTTCAGTGCAATCATTATTTTAAAGAAAAATAAAGTCGGGCCTCCCCAGTGGCGCAGTGGTTGAGCGCTGGGTTGTGAAGCTGCCCGCAGCCTCTGCAGCGCCGGTTCGATCCCTGGCTGCTCCCGGGCCACCGGAGGAGGGTCCCACATGGCGCGCAGACCTCTCCTGATGCCCGCTGCTCCCCTCAGCAGTGTACTTCAGTCCTTCTGCCTGCTCTGCTCCCCGCTCTGGCTCTGGTGAATTCTCTCGCCCTCCCGCACTTCTGACTGTACCCAAAGCTTGTATAAATAAATAAAGAAATCATTAAGAAAAAAAAAAGAAAAGACATCTCCAAAAAAAAAAAAAAAAGTCATTAAGTGGAAAGGTCTGAATGATTGTAGATATCATTCAAACATTTTATGATATCATTATATCATAAAAAGTAAGCTTTATCTCAGACAGAATAATATCTCATTATAATATCTTCTAAGTGTTATAATAACATATTTATAAATCACAATGTATGTATACAGAAAAGGGTAAGGGTAGTCAGCTGAGTAAAGGCATGAAGAAAAGTCAAAGAAAACTTCATGGAGGATGTGACAATAAGTTGCGCCACAAAGTCTCAGGAAGACTTTTAAAAGTGGAAGAATTTCTATTTCACCTCCAGCTGAACTGCTAAATGAAGGAGTCTGGTGTTTTCCCTTCTTTCAAAACTCAGGGTTTCCATGTAATTTCCTTAAGCACAGGCAGTAAGAACATGAGCAGAACCCATGTCAGTCCTAAAGTTACCATGAATGACTCTGTGATGACTTGGAAAACAGATCAACAATTTCAATTTCTTATCAAGAAAGGGACATTGGGTAGTATGATGTGCCAAGAGAGATGGGTTCTTTCTCCGGGGGTCCAAGAATTCAAATGTCACTTAGTCATGGCACTAGAACAGCTCTTAAAGGATGATATCTGATAAAATGTGAAAACTATTATATATGTCAGGAAAATTTCTGAAACCTCACATTATCAAATATTCAAATTATGATCCTTGTATTTATTACATGATTGTGCAACTAGATATAGACTGGAATCTACTAAACACTATTGTTTACTCATAGGGAAGGACAGGAATGGTGCCCCGGTTATGTCATTGGTTTTAGGGACTCAATTGTATCTTACTTTTCTATATCTATAAGCTAGCTTCTTACAAATAGTCTACTGCTCTTCCTGTGAGGATGTATATCTGCTGCAAAATAATTAAGAAAATATAATGTGAAAAGGAACTATTTTAAAATGGAAATAAAAATAATTTTACCAACCTAATAGGTAGGGTAGTTACTCTAATTGTCACTCCAATTGTGGATTCAATTTAGTTGTGTGCTCCCTGATAGCCAAGATAAAAATGGAAATTGCTATCAACTATTTTCAGGTTATTAATGAAAGCAAGTTTGCAATATCATCTATAACAACCTACTATTTCTGTGTATTAAGTCCTTGGAGAACATCATGCAAACCTTGTATAAAGGATATTGCTTTACACAAAAGGAATAGTCTTCAACTGCAGTTTTGTAGAAAATAGGTTCTTCCTATGCTATTTCTTATATTGACCTCAATAAAAAATCTGAAGACAAAATATTAAATTATAACTCTGGGAAGGACTTTCTGTGAGACTGTAAAGTAAAACACTCTCAGTACATTGTTTTCTGGTATATAATTGAGAAGTAAAACCTAGAAAAATAGAATGTGTTATTCAATCATGTCACTTACTTAGATGTTCAGAAATTGTTCACTTTAATCAATTCAATACTTAAAGCACTGAATCTCTGTACTGTTGGTAGAAGATCCTTACTTACTAAACACAATTTAAATGCTAATGATAATTTACTTTTTAACATAAAGTCAAATATCTTAATATATATTCTCACCCAGAGAAGTTTCCCTCCCTCTGAATGAAGCTGAGTCAGAGAGGTTCAGGTTTTCACTCAAATTTTGAGACCACTTTAATTCTCAGCTGCAAAGTTAGGGTTCTGCGTGAAAGCATAAAAGGAAAATTTAAGATAGTATCAGTCAGCCTTTTTACAGGTGAACAATTTAAAGGCTTCTTCTAATCTATCATACCTATCCAGTTATCTAAGTTAATATCTAACTTAAATTCAAGCCAGACTTTGCCTTTGGCGTTCTTGTCCTAGTGCCCTTCTGTCAATATATTCTTAATAGATCACTCTTATCTCCCAGTTTGAAACACTCTTGTAGAAAAAAAACAAGAATATCCTCATTTAAGAATAGTCATTTAAGAATAAATGAGTAGGGCCTCCCCGGTGGCGCAGCGGTTGAGCGCTGGGTTGCGAAGCTGCCCGCAGCCTCTGCAGCGCTGGTTCGATCCCCGGCTGCTCCCCGGCCACCGGAGGAGGGTCCCACACGGCGCGCAGACCTCTCCTGCCGCCTGCTGCTCCCCTCAGCAGTGTACTTCAGTCCTTCTGCCTGCTCTGCTCCCCGCTCTGGCTCTGGTGAATTCTCTCACCCTCCCGCGCTTCTGACTGTACCCAGTGCATGTATAATCAAAAAACAAACAAACAAATAAATAAATAACATGCCTCTATTAGGGAAAAAAAAAAAAAAAAAGAATAAATGAGTAGGGTCTCCCCTGGTGGCGCAACGGTTGAGCGCTGGGCTGCAAAGCTGCCCGCAGCCTCTGCAGCACCATTTCCATCCCCGGCCGCCTGCGAGGGTCCCACATAGCGTGCAGACCTCTCCTGCCGCCCTCTGCTCCCCTCAGCAGTGTGTTTCGTCAGTCTGCCTGTTCTGTTCCCCGCTCTGGTGAATGCTCTCACCCTCCCACGCTTCTGACTGTACCCAGTGCTTGTATAAATAAATAAATAAATCTTAAAAAAATGCATATTAAACCCACATAAATTCATATTGTCCAAAATTTTTCATATGGGTCATTGGAATTCTTCACACACCTCTGTGTTTTGCAAAGTGCTCTAAATAGTTCCATGCACCTTGCTTTAAGAAAGCAAGTAGACCCTGCCAAAATTTAAACATTATGTCACCTCTTTTAATGTTACAGAAACTAAGCTTTTAACTCTATTGAAAGAGAAACACCATTCTCCATTCCCTCACCTATTTCCTCATGCTGGGGACTGAATCTTAAATCCAATGACTTATGCTACAATCACTTCACATTTTAATGGAGACAATTACCAGAGTAGGTTGTGACCTTCTTGGTCTCCAAGTCATCAGACTGGAATATGTGGTATTGACACAAGAAGATATAAGAAGCACTACTGTAAACTACTGGATGGTAGACAAATTGCATTTATCATAATTTAAGAGAAGTAAGAATGCAGGTACCTTGTTCATTACTCAGTCAGTAAAAGTAGAGGTAAGTTTGTGGCAAATTCTTCAGTACAAAGGTCCAGAGTGGAGTCTAAGAATGAAGCAAACGAGATCACAAAAGAACTTCCCCTGAGGGCTGAATGCATGAAGGATACTCTTTAAATGATTTGTAAATGATAACTATTGTTTTGTGCTATTCTGTCTTCTCACTACTCTTTCTCAGGCTAGCCCTGTATATGTGGAATCTTGTTAATCTTAATTTCCTATAATGCCCTCCTTCCACCCTAAAATGGGCATATGTGTGCCCATTTGAGAGGGTCCCTCTTGTACCTATTCAATTCCTTTTCTGAGGATCTTTAAGGCTAAACTTCCCCCCATGAATTTTTCACTGATGACCCTCCACTTTGAGTCAATACCACATACTTTCAAACTCAGGTTCAACCTTAGTTTCTCATCTGTGTTGCTTTCATCTCCCATATTAAAATGATACTGATGATAGTGATGATACTGATTCTTACAGTCTTTTTGTATCCCGTACCATAGCTAGAATTGTGAGCCCCAATAAACATTTACGGAGTGACCAACTATTTGGATAGCTGAATATATTTCAAAGAGATGTGATGATAACTTGTTATTATAATTGTTTTGGAAAAGATTCCCACTGAGTATCTCTGAGTTTTGGAAAACTTTTAAATTCTTTAATACTCATTTATTCTTAAAGAAATTATTTCACATTATACATTCACTTGTAATCCCATTTCATAATGAAGTGGATTATAATACCTGCCAATAATTATAATTGCACCATCTTATACAATGTCTTTTGTCATTACTAAAATAGTAAAAGTACAGGTGTTTTGTGACAATGTTGCTTTCAAATGTCAAACTAAAGTGAACGATATATGATTAGAACATTTCTTTCAGAAAAGATGAAATTTTTTTAGTTTAATTAACATAAGTAGGAATCAGGTATTAAAAATCTTTGTACTTTTAATGGAAAAAATACATCCTTTTGTGTTAGGGTGGTCCCCAGGAAAAAGGGAGGTTTCAACTCCAGTTCTCTTCTCACAGTACACCTTACCTGCATTTGGCTCCTATTTTTATCATCAAAAGCCACTTTTGTCAGTTACTCTCCACTCTCTTGCATGTCTTGAGTATGATACACATGGTTTGAGTTCAGTTCATGCAAGTAGAAGGAACTCCACAGTAGTAAAGCAATCTTCAAATTGAATATCAGACACTCCCATTCTTAAGCACAATTTAGGCAGTGTCCATCTAACATGGTCCAAAACACTCTCCAAAATGGAGGACCTTTCTTTCAGGAATCCAGTCTAACCAATTCTAAAAATGAATGAATTCCTTCCATCACCTTTTTGAAGCAAATGATCTGTCTTGAACAGATCAGGGTCTATGCTTTCTCCTTTTCCTATTAAGGAAGGAAACATTTGGTAAATGTTCTTTCCTTTGATGAGAAGTGTTATCCCACAGTAGAAGCATAAAGATATTTTTATTAGCATACTGCAGATAAATACCACCTTTTAAAAAGAGAAGTGAAAGTATAAATTTGAAAAAAACAGATGATCTATCTATGGGCAAGGGAAAAATCTGATACACGTTAACAGGCCATGGAAGTAAAAAAAGCATGGACTTTTATATTAGACAGATCTCATGCCAAACCTGCATTCCAATAGAATGTGACATTGAGCTTATCTTCCCTCATCTCTAAACACTGTATTCTAGCAGTTGCCTTAAAGAGTGGTATGAAAAGTAGGATAATATTTGTAAAGAGCCTAGAGCAGTACCTGGACACAGAGTGTGCTAACTGCTGACTAAAATGATTATGATGATAGTGATGATGATGATGATGATGATGATGATGATGATGATGATGATGATGATAATGTTAGAATGAAGCAAACTCATTCCTATGAAACAATAGCTGTAAAGGTAAGGAAGAGAATTTGTTTACTCAACATTTTAAAATTATATAAAACAACTCTCCAGACAGAAAGGGTAAATACCTCATAATCTAATCTTATATAAAGTATTCTAGGAGTCCTTTGAATTGATGCAGTAGAGGAGTCATCATCTGATAGAAGAGAATACTATTCTCTGGTGACAGAAGGAAAAGTCAACAATGTATACAATTAAAAGGCACTGGTAATTTTTAAGAATTTATTTTTACTGTTAGGACTACTGAAGCAGTCGCTAACAGTAAATTTCATGGAGGGGGCTATCTATTAACATTTCTAATTAATTTGTAAACACATGAATCAGGATGACTACAAAAAGCAGCAGCCCAAAGATTCTTCCTTGTAAAATTTACCATTCTTTGTTTAAATGAACTTTACATTTTCTGTATGAAAGGAACAGGAAGGAATTTTATTCTGAAGTTACATCTGTGCCCAAGGTCACCATACCACCATTGTCTCTTCAGTTACTTGACAACCATGCATGATATTCATCTAAATGGTCTAAAAATACAGCAATTCCAAGAGTGCTTTAACAAGAACCCATTTTATTTAATGCTGATGCTTCAATCATCTCCAATCTAGGATCAGGATTAAAATGGACACAAAGGTAGAAAAAGCATGCCAGCAGATGTCACATGACTATCATAAAATGTCCTTTAGGTTTTAGAAGATATATTTTACTTAGAAGATATAGTTTTACTTTGTTAAGTATATCAAAAAAGCAAATTTCTTATTGTTGGCCAACATATTTTCTTTTTGCCCTACTACAATAGGTCAATTATACTGCATTTAGGAATATCTTTTCTACATCTACAAAAGATCAGGATATAGTAATGTAATTTGTATTTACAAAATAAAACTGTGCATTCATTTCTTTCAGATCTGCCTTGTCTGGACACCCATGTGTACCTCATTTATAAGACCCTCTTTCATCTCATAACTCAAAAACTTAAAATATACAGCCTATGATTGAGTACATAATAACTATTTGGTAAATGACATAGGATGGGTATTTCACTTACAATTATAGCAAAGTTAAATGAAACAATTTGTTGAAGCAGCATAATGTAGATTAGGAACTTGGATATATGATTTTTACTAATATATTCACCAGTCACTTGCTTTATTAATAGAAACCAGTTACCAGTTTTCTATTTTCTATCTGTAAAACAACATTTTAAACAATTGACTTCAGAAAGCTACATAGCTCTCAATGAAAATAAATGATATATATATTTGGTACCATTGACTCCTTGGAATTACAAATTGGGACATTCCTTTGTCACTAGGCAGCACTAAAATGGATAACAAATCAAAACCTGAAACAACACTAATCTCACCATATTCGTAATGTATTCATAGGATAAACTACAGATAATATTTATGAGACGTTATTTAATAGCCATAATACCTTTGACATGGAGATAATTAACGTAAGTAGAGTCTAGAATGGCCAGTACATACATCAACAAGCAAGAGGAATTCCAGCAACAAGCCAGTCTTCCAAATGGTTCAGACTCAGACAACTTCATTGGCATGTCCGGGAACACCAAAATTGCCAAAGGTAATATATTAAAGAGAAAAGAGTAACAGAAGGCATTAAAGGAAAAGCCGAGCATGAGGGTTTTCAGCAGCATACTTAGATTAGATTACTGTTCCTCCCCAGTGAAGAAACAATTTCTTCTTTTTCCTCTTAAAAATAACCAAGTTCCAGCTTTCCTTCCAAATATTATGACAAAAATGGCCCAAGAAGACCAGATGTACAGCACATGCTTAAAGGTTAAAGGAAGTGCTTGAGGTCTAACAGCTTTGGAAGGGTATTTGGAGATTACTCTAGAGAGGATCTCTATCACTGTTCCCTTATGTTGTATGAAAGATGATGTAAATTGGACTGGACCTAAAATAAGGTCTGCTGCTAAGGATCACAGTAAATATGACTGACATTCAGAAAAGAACACTTAGAATGTGAAAGCCCTGTTGAGATGCTAGGCTTTGTCCTGTAATTACGGTTGTAATTAACAGAAATTCAGATAAACATCTTCAGTAAAGGAAAGGGGCATGTAAAAACAGTGCAACAGCAAAGATTAGAAACCTCATTGAAAAAGCAGGTACTTTCACAGAAAGGATAAGTGCACATACCCAGATTTTTTGAAAAGTAGAACTAGAAGAACATGATATATAAGGTAGTAAAATATACAGATTACCTTATGTCCTCATAGCCATAAATTTATTGTTCTCTACCTTTGTGGTATATAGCATTTCATTGTGTCTCTAGCCTCACTGCACATGTATCAAATCAATACCATCACCTTTAATCTGTATGTGTTGTTATCCTCTCTACCTCATATCTTCTACTTAATCATTCTCACTAATATGGAACGTTCTGTGGTCCCTGCTACCTTGCGGTCTCAGATTTCTTGCTTGCTTTCTGTTGTTTCATAGCACCAGAATAGGAGAGAATTTGATTGACTCAGCTAATTATTCATAATTCCTTTTTAGACAAAAATTCTCATGATTAGTTACCTTTACAGTTTTGGAAAATCTAAAAATTGGCTACAATTAGATCAATAATTCTGACTCACTTACTGATAGAGAAGGCCATATTAATGGAGCCTTCAGTGGAAATTTTGAGTCAATATACTTTCCATTAAAAGAAACATGGGAGGAAAAGGCACTATTTTTGACCCAACCAGATACAACAGTCCTCAAGGTACTCATCCATCTTCAGTTATGGTCATATTCTGGAAATTATATAAGTGTAAACTACTGTCCAATTACAATCATTCAGCCAATTTTCTATGACACACCCAATCTATGAAAAGCATTCACTTGTTTCTAGAAATGAAAAGTAACATGTCTACTATTTAAAATAGGAAAAGACAGACAGATAAAAGGGTGTTAGTAATTCCGAAATGGCAATACAGGTATTACTATAGATAACGCACTTTAAGATATTGTGGAATAAGGAAATGAACAGTACTGAATTTAATGTCAAGATCTGGATTTTAGTCTCAGCTCAGAATATAAATATTTTTGCTATAAACTACAGAGTAACCTTGAATAAATTACTTTATCTCCTGATGTCTCCATTTCCTATTCTTAAAATTAGTGTGAAAACTGAGGGCACAGTTCTACTTTTTTTAGATATTTTTGGTATTGCTTTGATTCATCCATGTAGGATATAAATTAGAAGAAATTCTTTTTTTTTTTTAATAGAGGCATGTTCCATTTATTTATTTGTCTGCTTGTTTGTTTGTTTTGTTTATACATGCACTGGGTACAGTCAGAAGCGCGGGAGGGTGAGAGAATTCACCAGAGCCAGGGCAGGGAGCAGAGCAGGCAGAAGGACCGAAGTACACTGCTGAGGGGAGCAGCGGGCGGCAGGAGAGGTCTGCGCGCCATGTGGGATCCTCCTGCGGTGGCCGGGGAGCAGCCGGGGATCGAACCGGCGCTGCAGAGGCTGCGGGCAGCTTCGCAACCCAGCGCTCAACCGCTGTGCCACCGGGGAGGCCCCCTAGAAGAAATTCTTTAAAATGCTGATTTGGGGAATAATTTTACATAAACTGTAAAGACAAATTATGTCATATCATTATTTTAATTGATTTATTTCCTAATACATTTTGATTGTTACAATAAAATGTCAGAATAATAGCCCTCTATTAGAACTGTTCCAAAAGAATTGTTCTAGTACTCTACTAGAATTATAACTTTTCTAATTTAAAGAATACCTCAAATTGAAATGATCATTATAGTTACTTCAGCTTTAGATTAAAAAATAACAGGTACACACAGGAAGTAGACTACATTTTAGCATCCCATGATGGAGTAGATATCAAAGTTTAATCTGTGTGTGCACCTTTCTTCATACTGCTTTGTAGTATGTATGTAAAATGGTATCAATAGGAAGACAGCATGTACAAAAACACATGTACATTTATTTGACATTGTTTAGACTAACTTTTTGGAGAAAAAACACTTAGGGCAGTTGATACTTTGATTTGGTTACCCACAAATCATGCCATACTCCATTGTCTCCAATCACTTTGTAGAAAAACTGGGAAATTCTGGATACAATCAGACTCCGTTGAATGCTAATTTCATCATTTATCAATTGTATTAAGTGTCCTGGGCAAGTTCTTTGAAATCTCTGGCTTCCAATAATAGCCAAATTTCAACTATTTCAAACTTAACAGGATACACTGTGTGGAAGTATCTCATAGAGAACATGGTGTTAGTTGATCCTCAATATGCCTAGGAGCTTTGGCCAGTTCCTCTGTCCATTATCACCTTTTACAATCTTCATAAGCCAGTGATCTCTATATAGGTACTTTAGGCAGACACGCCCTCTTGCCCTTATTTGAAAAATCTATTAAAAAAAAGTTTCTTCCTAGGAATCCACTTATGAGGGTTTAAAGGAACCTCACAGAAACCATCTAACTAAATGACACTGCATTCCTAAAAGACCAGCAAGGGCAGTAATTGCTACAGGAAATTTCACAGAAGTAAAACCAAGACATCAAGTGATTTGCCTGAGATCACTTAGAGGGAAAGTTATAAATGGATACCTAATAATACAATTTACTGAAATAATTGATGCAATGGTATCACAGAACCATTTCCCTTGAAGGTTACAATGAAAAGTTCAAATTAGGAAGCAATGATTTGCCAAATGCTATACTGCAGAACAAGGATACATCATCAATAACTCTGCAAAGAAACACAATATAAGCCCTAGCAATGGATGATAGGAATACTATAATCATTAAAATGTATTTAAAAATACAATCTCTTCAGAAAACTAAAATATTTGAAAATCAATAAATTGAAATTTTTCATGTAGTCTGAGTTCACAAGGCCAACTAAATATCATTAAATATTTCAAAACTGTTAAGTATAGCTGTATTATTTATTCTCCTTTTAAAAATATTTATTTTTTATTTATTTATGCATAAAAGAACTCA